GGCGTCTCCTCTGGAGCTTCTTCCTGTTTTAAACATGTTAACGGAGCACTGTTGTTAATGACAGCCGTGGCTCTTCAGTGAAAGACCGTGATCAGCCTGGGCCTCATGTTTGCAGTATAACATCTCATATATGTCAGTCTTTACAAGAGCTAGGACATGGACATGTGTCCTGTGCAGCATATATACCCTGTATCATATAATATATACTGTTTGCCAGGTATAAAATATGTTATATATCTATATATTCAGTTATTTTAGGAAACTCTTTCACAAGTAGAAACTACTGCCAACACCTGGCTAATGTACTCTGATTAGGGATGGGTATTGTATAGGTTTTATCAGATACCGGTGCCAAACCGGTACTTTTGAAAAGGTGCCGGTGCTTAAAGAATGGAGAACACAAACTTTGTCCAAAAACCTCTTATGTTTTTATTTTTAGCAGTCTCTTTTTTTTCAAAATCCATCTTGGAAAATGATGGCCATTTTTGAAAATTCTGATGGGATATACCAAATGATTAGCTCTGTAGGGAAAAACAGTGACTGTTTTTAAGAGCTCTGGTTCTTTATGTGTGCTTTCTGATAAACTGTTTAAAAAGTTGATCCTCAAACCAAAAAATCCCTCCAGAAGTCCAAGCCTGGCCAAATAACGGGAGTTTTCCCTGACAGCTAATTCCCATTTGGCTAAGCGGGCTGCATCAGACAAAGCTGGATTTATTTTGGCATGTTAGCTAATGCTAGCTAATGTTTGCTTGATACCCAAAGCAGCAGTTAGCCGGGTTCAAATGCTACGTTCTATTTTTCTTGGAAGCCAGACTTCAGAGCTTGGAGTGATGGCAATCCCAAGTTGAGTGTCTCCACTAGTAAAGTCAGAAAAGCAGGATTTATTTTGCTCCTTAGCGATGTGCAACCATTTGTGCATCGCTAGCAATCCAGTGATAGTTCACTAGCAATGCTGGTGATGTTTTTTTTGTTTGTTTTTTTTAATGTTTATCAGTAAAATCCGCTGCTGCAGCACATTCAGGGAAACACCCTGACCCACACTCTGCGTATGTCTCACACAGCCACAAATACACAACAGTGGCAGCACGGGTTACATGTTTTACAGTTTTGCTAATGTTTACGTGCACTGCCGCCATCTTGGATTGTGAAGTCGGGGTTGGTGGGGCTGCTCCAACACTCGGAGAGGGAAGTCTATTTTCAGTTCCAGTTTAAAGTTCCAGTTGAGAACTTGGAAATTAGGCTTAAAAAGTAACGGCTTTGCTGTCATTAGCTTGTGAAGCCGGGACGCTGGTTGATTTCAGGCTATGAAAGGTCTGTTTGTCCTTCACACTCTTCCTTCCCTGTGCATTGAAATTTCCATGATGAGACGAGAGCTTTCTCCTGATTGGACACGCAGAGGAAACTGATGTTCTGGATTGAATGTGATTACTTGATGAGCTTCATCAGTCCTCTCGTCATTCATCCCCTGCTGCCTCTTCATCAAACATCTTCTCTTTCCCTCTCCCGTCCTCGTGCGTGATAAACTGCTCACACACAAACACACGCGGAGCTGTTTCTAGGTCACGAGGGCTTATATGAATAATAAACAGCTGTCTGCTTTAAAGAGAATTATTTATAGAGGCCTTGAATGAGCGACATAGACACACTCTTCATCGCTTTCTCTCCACCTTAAACGCCTCCTCCTCGACTTTCTCCGTATTGTTGTCTTCATTATCTGTTATCGCTTTATTTCCCGGCCTCGCCGTGTTTGTTTCTGCCTCCAGGAATTCTCTCTGATGCTGATACTGCTGTACCTGTCATATACAGGAAGCTGTAGTAGTAGTAGCTGTAGTATCAGACTGTGTTCTTACACCTTCCATCTCTTTTTCATCTGGATTTCCTGGTTCAGACCTGAGTATCCAGGCCATACACAGCCCGGCAGTTATGAGAAGATAAAATGTTAACCCCAGCAGCATCGAACAACAAGTGGAGGAAAAAATTAGTGTCGGAGTCAATTAATATCAGCCAGCCACGTCGCCGAGAGCTGAATCCGTGCCGAGATGCTGACTCCCCAGTTTACAACGATAGAGCGCCACATTAACACATACATCAGAGTCTGCAGTCATTCATAATTAGCGAAACTCATTTTCCCCTCTTGACCGACTGGTGGTTGCATCACAACATGCAAAAAACATGTTTATTTATGCTGTAAAGTGTCTCCAGTGGACGTTAGAGGAACTGCGGGTTTTAGTTGAATCTAATCTGCCTCTGATGGTTATTTCTGTTTGTATAATCATGAACTCAGCAGGCACTGGGGTTGGATCGATCCCAGTATCGATATTAGTATTAATACCACTGTTGGTATCGGTATCAGATCGATACTGGTGCCATAGGACCGATACTTTGTTTCTGTTCAGCAAGTTTAGCATGTAGCCGTCTGAACTGTGTTAAATATTTTTTGAAAAAATGAAAAAATGTACCTCACACCTTGCTGTGTTGACTGTCACGTCTATTTAAAGCCTACAGCACATTTAAACAAAGCTGACCCAAAAACGTCAGAGATGGGCTCAGTTTCAAAATCCATGAAAAGCCAAATGATGTGTTTTATTGGGTTAAATGATTATTGTGGAAAGTAAAAACCAGCGATTTAGTGTTCAGAATTTGACAAACCGATGATGACTCATCTTATAAATCATGACACACTGCTCTCCCCTAAGTTGCTGCCCTTATAGGGTAAAAGTCATCGGTATTGGTATCGGCAGAGCTGGCCCTGTATGGATGGAAGATGGAAAAACTGACCTTCCAAAATAAATCTGGAGTCCTACGAGGTCACGCTCCGACTGGCACAAGTTTAAAGAAGCAGTCTTACAGCTGGAAGATCTGCTGACAGGAGCTGTAATCTGTTAATCTGTGAGGAAAGTGAAAATGTAGCAGTGAGGAGATGTGGTGATGCATAAACAGAGAGAGAAACAGGAAGCAGAGAGTGACTCTGCAGAAACAGACAGGATGGCGGGCGGGGAGCTGAGGTCAGCAGGAAGTCAGACGCTGGCCAGACTAAAGCTTTGGGCTGAAACAGCATGATGTCATGTGGACTGAGCCCTCATGGTAATCCCAAACATCCACACACACTGTAACAGAACACACACTCACCAAGGCAGCTGCAAATCCACCAATCAAACTAAAAGTATCTCACATTCAGGCAGGTGAGTGCGGCTCACAAACTGACGAGATCCTCATTTAATCTGTGTCATGTGTTGATATTATTTTTGATTAAGGAAACCTGATAAATAAGACAATAATCAGCTTCTGAGTTAGTCACTTCTATGATTTAAAAGAAGTCTGTAGCAATCCCGTGTGTTGCTGTCTGGTTTATAATCTCCTGATAAATTTCTCAGCCCAGCATCTCATATCCTTCAATAATCTGTTTCTGCTGCTTCCTGCTGGTTCCCAGTTTGTTCGCCTCACGCACAGGTTAGCTGGAAGTGGTCGGGCATGTAACTCAGCAGCTTTGCATGACTCACAGTTCAAAAAAATCCTTCTTTATCTGACACTCGGCCCCTCAGTTCATCCTCTGTCCAAACAAGCTGTTTTGAGTCCCATCTTTAAAGTGACTTTCTTCTGATTGGTTGCCCCTCATAAACAGTCTGAACAGCGGGTAGGCGGGGCTTCTGTGCACAATACGGCCACATTTGGGACATTAACCCCTCTGTGACATCAGGCAGTGAGTAGAGTAAGAAAAAACTCGGCGTTTGGAGGAGCCTCAGTGTTTGGCTCACTGTGATTCTTTGGACTTGCCTCATTAGAGTATAAGCTCCGCCCACTGAAACAGGTCCTTGATGTCTACACGCCTGCTTCCTTTTTATTTGTCAAACATGTTTCACTGCAGTTATTTTCTCTGTTGTTATCGTATTTTTAACAGGGGCGTGTAGCACATGGATGATTGTGGATGCAGTACCGTGATTGGCCACTAGCACTGCTGTGGCGCTCTGCTCAAAGATAAATTGAAACAAATCGCAGCGTCGTGGAAACAGCAGTGTGGCTGTGTTTTATGCAGTTGGTTCTTTCTGACCTTTCGTGCAGATTACTGGGTTTTATTTTATTTGCTTCGCTGCAGGGTTACAGCAGGACTTTCAATCTGGAGATGCAGGCTAAGCTGTAATCTCTGTCACCTTCATTCAGCCTCAGCAGAGAGGTCAGAGGTGGCTGTGAGGAGGCACCAGTTTAATTTGTTTTTCATAATTCGGGGAGTGCTCAGTGCACGTTCGTGTCTCTGCAGCTCCTGTGTGTGTCGGTGTGTATTTGAGGAAAGCACAGTTTTAGAAGCAGACAGTCAGAAGATGCATTATCTCAGTTCTTCAAAGGGCGGCTCCTCCTTCAGTCAAACCAAATAATCAGGACGGTCTTTGAAGCTGTGCTGACGGCTGGAGTCGCCGGCCTGTGAACCTCCCTCGTCGTGCAGCAGCTCGTCTGTTATCTGCTGCAAAACTGTTTCGGGGGATGGGGCCTGTCTGACAGGACTCGCCACAGAGAAGGCTGATGGGAGTTTCTAAGAGCACTCTCTGGTTCATGCAGTGGCTGGAGGTTTGTGCTGTGAGTTGTTTTGGAAAGAAAGTGTTGCTCCCTAACAACAGGCTGAAAAGCAGCACGAGTGTCTGCGTGCACGTGGGCACAGCGGCCAGTAAACAGAGCTGTGAAGAGACCGGACGCCGAGGTCTCATTGTTTTTACAAACCCAAACAAAGAGTTTGAGTCGTTGGGTCGAGAAGTTTCTGGGGCTCAGACTTAAGCAAAGAACAAATGAAAAACTCGAGCTTTAACGTTGCACAGAGAACAGAAAGGCGGGACTCAAACTGTGGGTTTTTCTTCTCTGTTCTCCTGGAGAAACTTCACCGAGCGTGCACGGCAGGAAAAGCAAAAATAAATACTCGAGTAAAATACCTGAACATTGTCTTAAGTGGAGTAACAAAGTATTTGTACCTCGTTACTTGTGTCTAATTAGCACTCTGTCTGTGTTTCTAACAGGGCCTTGTACACATACGAGGATGAAAGCAACGACCTGACGCTGGCGGCGTCCGGAGGTAAGTCTCTGCTGATGTGACTCCCTCTCCCGTCCCGTCGCTGACATCATTTCTGTGTTTTTAATGAAAAAGGTTTTAATGGCGAGCGTTCAGATTGGCTCCAATTTGCTTCTGCAGACCGGCGGCTGTAAATCACGATGAGCAGCGTCTGCTGCAGCTTTGGGGGTAAAAGCAATCATGCTCTTTGTCTCCTGATTGTTACTGAGCCATCAGAGAGATTCATTATCATTTCTGCTAATGATGCGCTGCAGGATCATTACAGAGTAATGGCACCCCTCCTGATTCGATGCTCGCTGTCACTGTGTGTGTTGTGTGTCGTTTGTTAGCCAGGATTTAGCAAATGTGCGCACAGTGGTTAACCCTTTAAAGCCGGTCAGAGC